TGTGTGTGCTGTGCCAGTGTGAAGTGTGACACTGTTGGTCTCCCTGGCATAGCTGAGGTTCCAATAACCCCTCTGAGTGGACAGTGGGATGGGGCAGGATGGGTGCCATGGTGGGGGCCCAGAAGGCAGGGCCAGAGCTGCAATAACTCCTGAGTGGGCAGTGGGATGGGGCAGGATGGGTGCCATGGTGGGAGCCAGCAGGCAGGGCCAGAGCTGCTTGGCCACTGTCCCACTACCTGGGTGTGTCTTGTGTCCTTCCTGGGCCAGGGAGGAGTCAGGGCTGCCCAGGGTCCCAACTGTCCTGGTGGATGTCGCAGGTGATGTCAGGGCACGTGCACCACCAGGGGGCCGTGTGGTAGTGGCAGCGAGTAGCGACAAACATGGGTTCCCAGAGAGAGGAGGACCTCTCCTCAGGGCTCAGCCACCTGCCAGGGTATCTCAGGGAGCTTTGTGTCAGTCGTTGTGCCTCCCTGTCCTGCCCAGGCCCAGGTACATCCTGGAGCTGGCCAATGTGCCGCCTTGCACACCTCAGTGATGGGAGGTGGCGACATACTCACTTCTTCCCCTCTTGTGCTTGGCGCTGAACTTCCTGAAGCCCGTCAACGGCCTGGTGAAAATCAAACACTGTCGGGCCAGGTGGGGGCACCAGGAACAAGAGAGAAGCAGAGGTTTATGTGGGACACTCACCAGCTATGGGCCCGAGTCTCCCAGGAAGAGGGGCTGAGGTCTGAGGACAGACTGGGCTGGGACCACCAGAATCCTGCTCTGCCCTGCTGCTTGGGTGTGACTGCGCCTCTCCCTCAGTGGCCCTATCTACAAACAGGGCCAGTGACCCCCAACCCAGCTCCCCCCTTGAAGTTCTTTGGAAAGAGCCAAGTGGCATGAGGCCTGGGAAGCACCCTGAGCAGGAGGCTGTGGAGGGGCCAGGGGAAGCCCACCCAGGAAGGAACCAGGGCTGGTGATGTGGTCACACGTGTGCACACCCACACGAGTGCAGTCACACATGCACATGTGCCTGTACCCATAAGTGCACACCACAGTCCAG